TCCCATCTCAGCTCCTCCCCCTCTCCCCCTCTCACCCTCTCAGCAACCTTCTCTTTGCTTCACCCTCTCACCCTCTCACCATCTCAGACAAAGGCACCAGATGAAAACGCAGTTCCTTTCCCTCTCACCCTCTCAGCAACCTTCTCTTTGCTTCACCCTCTCACCCTCTCAGCAACCTTCTCTTTTTCATTAATTTCATAGAGAGGGATTAGGGGGAAAAAGGGGGGCAACCATTTCATTCATCAACAGAAATTACTGGACAGTCAACTATTGCTATCAAAATGACCGAGTCTGAGGTGTCCTTGAAAGGAATATCATGTACATGTACCTACCATGTGAATACATGATCCCACTCCCATCTGCATTTGTCTGTGGCTGTGTGTACACATACACACGCATTTTCTCCATGCTTCTCAAGGGTGAAAACAATCAGGTTGGGATGAGATACTGTTCTTTGATGCCCATATGTAAATACAGACAGACATGGATAGGGGAAACAGGAACTTGTTTCTCCACTACCTAAAATCCCAGACACAGATACAGGTACATGTATCCCAGATAATATGCTAATAGTATCATGCTCTTATATCTAGTTTTTTAAGCTAAGGCTCAGTTTGGAAGGAGTACAAATACAAATATGTAGAGTGCAAAGCCCTGTATTTTGTATTATTTTGTATGTGTTTGTACTGTACATATTTGTATTTGTACTCTTTCCAAACTGAGACTAAGGCTTAGTTTGGAAAGAGTATAAATACGAATATGTATGGTGCAAATACACACAAAATAGTTCAAAATACAAGGTTTTGCACTGTACATATTTGTATTTGTACTTCCAAACTGAGCCTAAATGACATTTATCAGGACAATTATAAAAAAAAAAATGTCATTTCTAAGGACTTGTTTCCTTGCAAGTTAACTTAGCTATGAATAGATTTTTTTTTTGTTAAATTTGTTAAAACACACCATTTAAATATTTCTTAAGTGTTAATGCTATAGGGTACATTTAGAAGTATCTAGTTTCATATCTATGTCCAACACTGGTACGCTAGGCATGTACAGAATCTCAAACTAACCAGTTTTATCCAAACCCAAACCCAAGATGGTTCAACATGAATCTTGAAAAGATGATAGAGCCAGGTTAGTTTGGTTGGATGATCAGGTTGATCCTGTTTGGTTTTGGGATTGCATGAACCTCAAACCAAGCCTAATTCAGACCCATGCTCACACTCTCTCAGATTGGGCCAGGACAGCAGAGGCCAAGGTAGCAATGGGCTCAAACACAATTTCTCCAGCTGGACCTTAAAACCTTTTTTCTTATAAAAGCTAGAGTATATTGTATTGTATTGTATTGATAGTAATAGGGAAGAATGTCACCCGCATTCTTTCCTTTTAAGTTAAGAGGACATAAACACCCATTACAATGGGAGGAAACCTCAAGCACAACTATTTTTGGCACCATCATTTCAAAATGGATTGTTAAGCATATTTCTGATTCAAGTGCAAATGCCTTCTCCACAACATACCCAGTATGACACTTTCCATTCTAGTTGAAAAAGCCACCTATTCATGAGGTTCACATTCATTGACAAGTATTTTGTGGGAATTCAATCATATACTGATAGGAACATGGAAGGAGAGGAAGAGATGAATGCAAGTTGTCTTACTACCATATTACCAGATTGAATTTGGACTTGGAAGAACTCTTTGGTGGAATCAAGTAAGAATCATCTATATCTACTCTGTAGTTATCATAAAATCCACATTCTCATTCTCTTTTAATAAATCACCAAGTACATACAAGGGAAGAAACAAGCAACAAAATGAACATACAACTAACATATGAATTAGAAAAAGAACATTGCAATTAAAAACATCCTACAAGTGGCATTGATTACCTGGTATTTTTCTTGCATCTCTCGAACAGAAACAGAGAACTCAGTCATTGTCCAGCTGAGAGTATTGAATAATCGGTTTAGAAATGCTGAGAATAATGCATCATCATGTATGCATGCCTCCCGCAATAAGCCCTTCATGAAGAAAGGAGATAAAGGAAAACCATAAGATTAAGCTGAAAACTTTAACAAAGAAGCATGCTACAGGAACAAAGATTTTAATCTTGAATTCACATCCCCAGTGAAATCAAAATAAAATCTGGAAGCGTGGAAATCCTTACTAAAGTTTCTTTAGGACCTCACTGAAATTAGTCAAAAACTCGAAATGTCAAAATCTTTAAAAATATATATCAGAATAATTTGAGATTTTATTGAAACCCACATCCAGACAAAAAAGACACAACAAAGAGCATAATTTCACCTGGAAAAGCATTGATGATGATGACTCCCCATGCTTTGAAGAACCAAATCCAGAACCTTTGCACAGTCGCAGAAGTATGTTTGTTACTGGAATCCATGATCTGTTGCCAAAAGCTGAGAGCAATGCTCTTGGCATTTTCTGAATGGCTGCATTATTGTTCTCAAAAGCAACCAAATATTCTCTGTACTGTACCAAGACTGATATAGATTGCAAAAGAAGATCTCTCAAATCAGCACTGGATATCCGTGGGTCATTGAAGTGAGTAACAATAAAAGTGACCTAAAAGACAAGCCAAGCATTAGTTTCTTGGAACTCCATAGACAGGCAAACTAAAACTTAGAATCCTAATTACATAACATATTGTTAAAGCATCCATCATGATTAAAGAATGTGTTGAAACTTGCATGCAATTGACAGACCCACATAGTAACATCAACATCCTTGACACCTATGATTTATGGAAGCATTCTGTAAGCAGCAAAAATGTCATGTGCAAAATATAAAAAGGTTCTAAAAGTGACAGTTTTTTCTTTTTTTTTTAATTTATTGATAGGAAAGATATGTTAATTTCCTCACAGAGTGATACTCAGTAACAATGATACTATACTCATATCATATGTAGGATGATGAAACCCTTAATTTACAAAAGCTTAGCAGTGCATTCTCCCATCTATGGAAGACTTGGAAATCAATATAAATCAACAAACCCATTGATCAAAGGTGCTAAAGAAAAGGGTGAAATAAAAATAGTGGTGGCAAAAGTCCAGGAAGCCACAAGGAGGTATTACTAAGCCTACCAGGAAATAGTATCTAAGAGGCAAGATAGATCTGCAAAGTAAGGAAAAGAAAATAAAATAACCAAGGAATTAGCACCTTGGCTTCTCCAGGAACCAGCACCTAATAGCTTTTTGAAGGAATCAGCACCTTGAAGAAAATTAAATATGTGCACCAAAGAAAAAGGGTTGGCAATTTCTAAAAAAGCTGGTCCAAATTGGTTGAACTCACAACTTTGGAATTTGACAATTCTTCAAGAAGCTTTCCCAATTGGACAGAGTTGTCCATTGATTGAGGAGATAATTATCAGAAAATCCCTAAAGTAGAAAAAACTATCAATTAATTGAACTATTGCAAATTATAAAACCATGCCAGTCTTACAATGAGTTTGGGGTTTATATTTTGCAGGAAAAAAATAAAATGCATATAGAAAGTCCTTGTCCATTGAAAGGTTATGCATACCCCTAACTTATTTAATATGCAAAAAGTAAAAGCTTGTTTACATAAAGATACATGTAATCCCAATGGTAGTTCATATAAGGAAGTAATGGTTGGTAATATAACATTGTATAAAAATTTAAACTAAAAAGAATCATAATTGTCAATGTTCAATTCTTTGTCTTTCTTGATGTTTGCATTTCAGATCAGAGGAAAAGAATCAAGAGATGCATCACAGAGCATTAGCATACACTTATTCCAGTAGGGCATAGTAGCTTTGTGATGGAAATTTTATTATCTTCCCAAACATGACGGGTGTAACAATAAGATATTAGAGAGAGAATAGAACTTAAAGATGGAACATACAAATGATGAGAGTCCTTGCTTAATAAAAATTGAAGAAGGAACAAACGGAGGATCACTCCTCCGCAAGGCATGGAAGCAGTCAACCTGCAATGCAATAATAAAGCAATTAACAAGAGCAGAAAAAAGTTGATATGAAACATCTAAGAAGTATTTGTTCTTGTAGGATCACTGAAGACAAAATCAAGATATATGTATTGTGATCACTGATTCTGATAATAAGAAAATACTCAAAGAAACGAAATGAAAGGAATAGAACAAGAGTTGCATTAGAAGAGATTGAAGTTCATACTATTAGTAGCATTCGGTGAATCAATAAATAACAATAAGCTTTGAATATGCAAAGTTAGCCACATAGCTTGGGAGTGAAAATATTGTAGGCCTTGCTTTATGTGTATTCCCCCTTTATTGCTATAAATAGTAGCATTTGGATATTTTTCTAATTGAATTATTCCATTATCAATTGGAGGCAGGAAAAGTAACATGTCAAAAAATATACAAGATGAGACTGCAATACATCCCCAAAGAAACATAGCCATAAATGAGATTTTACTTTTTGTTTGGAACAGGTATATACAAGATTTTACATTTTATCCCTCCTCCAGAATATATCCACACGATATAGACCAAGGCTTACAAAAAAATATTCTCGTATCCTTATCTTTCCAATTTCTAAATATCACAAATTAAGCCAAGAGTAAAACCTTTCAAATAAGGCATACCATCAACTCAAATGGGTATAACTGTACAGTGCCATTAAATATTATACCTTTTTTAGCAAAAGGTAGAGTATTATTCATTCAGAGTAAGTATGATCATGCACAGCGGGGCACTATACAAAAAGTATATGCATAGTGCACCAGTCCTGCCAGAGTTACAAAAATAGAGTGGCAGGACCAAAATAACTTTGATGGGGAATATTACTAAATTGATACATTGCAGCCATCCAAGAGTGAATGGAGCCCATTATCTTCTTGATTAAATCATCAACTGAACAGCTTCGATTCTGAAATATCCACTTATTCTTCTCCTTTCAAATACACCACAAAACTGCAGCAGGAATAGTGCTCCAAAACTTTCTTCCTTTTTTATTTAGTCCCTTCACTTTCCAGGAGCACACATGATTCAAAACCCTTTCCAGCAAACACCAAGAAAGATAAGTTGCAGAAATAAGAATATATCTAATTCACCACTGTACACTGCAGGAATAGATTATTAGAAGTTTCTCTGCCTCTCCCACAGAGCACACAATTTTCTGCTTGAATGTTTACACCTCTTCTTAACAGATTGTCCCTGAACACATTTATCAAGCACCACAGACCACACTAGGAAGCCACTTTGGAGGGAACATGGGATAGCCAGACTTCTTTATGAGTGAAAGCTAGCTTTTCATTGTTGGTCAACTCCCTGCACAGGGATTTGAGAATAACCCTGATTTCTCCCATTTCCAGCTTCTTCAATCCTTTTGGTCTGGTTTTGGGCACGTTCAGTTGAGCAAATTGAATAAAAGCCAGCTCCTCTGTTTCACAACCATCCAAACTCCTTCGAGTTGGGCACCAGCAAACAACCTCCTCCTGAATTTCATGAGTCAAATCACATTTGCATCTCTGTTCTCTACAAGGATGTATACAGAAGGAAAGTTTGTCCCATTATTAATTTCATTACTACACTAGTGATCAAAAAAATTCATTACTATACATATCCACTTCATGCAAAAAAGTGTAAGGGGAAAACTGCAGGCATCCCTGACAAAAAAACTCGTGCAACTCACTCTTCTCTTTGGCACATTATACATTGATTAGCCATTTGAAAACTTGAGAATGTAGATGATCAAGATAAACCATTGGCACTTCCACTAATCCAAAAAAAAGGAAGCCAGTTTTCTGAATCCTCCGAATTATAGGCCCATAAAACTAGTTGCTTATAGGGTTTTTCTTTGGGCCACTTATAAGGTTGATTTGACAGTTACATCTGATAAATCCAAAAAGCAAATTAAGCAATAGGACTTTCAGGCTGCAATTTGCTTAAAGGATGAGACAGCTCTGGTTTGAATAAATAAAGCATAAGAATCAAGGGATCAAAGCTTGACAGATTTCTATTTAATGAGGGTTGGGAGAGCCACTGGAGAGGTTTGGTGGCTAAGGCCCTACCTAGGATAAYCTCWGATCACTRCCCTATAGAAGTAGGACAAGAACCTCTTGGTAATGGACCTAGACCATTCAGGTTTGGAAATATGTTGCTGACACACCCGGACTTCTTGCCTAAGGTTAAGGAATGGTGGAGTGAAGA